CTCAAAATTTTTCTCGAGGGCTCGCTGCTTATATGAAATCCGACAACACGAAATCGATACCCCTCAAAAGCTTATATCGAGTGACCGAAGTGCTATTTTTCGAGGGTTCGAGCACTTGGTGAGGGCCTATTTTCGAATACTCGCTGCACCCCTCGAACGACTTTTTTCATCTGCATGAGTATGAAGTCTAAAATGCGACGTGTAATATGTACATTTCACTTATAAAAAAAATGATGATATGAAGTTTCATAAAAATAACTAACCTTGGTTCATGTCCGGCAACAATTTGTTGAAATGCTCCAGCACATGCGCCTTGTTTTCCTTGAAAAAAAATATATACAAAATACATATCAAATCAACGCTGGACAAGTCAGAGGTTTTGCAAGTCACAAGTCAAGTCACCCAAAAACATTTTCAAGTCAAGTCAAGCCTGGTTAAAAAATAGGTAGAACATAAAATTTGCTAGCGCCTTTTTGGATCAGAGACAATTTTTATAGTTTCAGAAACTGTTTCATGGTAAAAAGTGACTAATTTAAACGAAAATCTCTTACTTGAAATGATTTAAATTCAAAAGTTTTTCAACTCCAGTCACAGTCACGAAAAAAATCTCTCAAGTCAAAAAACTTGATGCATTTTTGACTTGACTTGCCTAATTCTGTATCAAATAAATATTACATTAATTGAACAAAATTTACCTTCCCAATATTCTGGATTTGGATCCATTCTTTCTAGAATATCGAAGGCTCGAGCTGCATAAAAAAAATGTCCACGCTAAAAAATAAATTTGTTTTTTTAACCCAAAAGTTAGATATATATATTTTCTACCTTATAACAATCATTAGCCACTAATTGTAATAAACTAAATGATTCTGTACTGTGTTCTAATTTTAAATATAATTCCCATGCTAATCGTGGTTTTGAATTATAAATATAACATCTTGCTAACCAACTCAAATAAACATAATCCGTTTTTACTTTTTCACTTTGTATGAGTAAAAATGCCTATACACCAAAAAAGACGAATGCTGTAATTTAATAGAGAAGGTGGAAAAGTTTACTTTACTAACTTCCTCTGCTTCTTTCCATTTTTCTTCATGTGCTTTGGCTTGTGCATAATTAAAATTAAATGTATCATCATTATAAAAATAACTCTTAAAAGAAAAAAACCAACATAGTAATATAATTAGAATGATTACAGGGTGGGCCAAAAACACTTAATCCCCGTGTATTTATTGACTTTCTTGTGTACAAATGTAATTGAGCTTTTTATCATCACTTTAGTCGAGTAGAGCAAAGATTTCTGGACAAAATGAGACGTCTCCGAGCTCTCTACGAGCAGCGTAGAAAAAATCTCTCATGAAACAGCATTCAATTTACGAAAGGTCCCATACCACAACAATCGGGTCAATTAACGGGACAACAAGAAAAATATGCTCTTAGGACCTTCCGTAAATTAAATACTGTTTCATGAGAAAAGCTTGTAGAGAGCTCGGAGACGTCGCATTTTGTCCAGAAATCCTTGCTCTACTCGACTAAACTAATGATAAAAAGTTCAATTATATTTGTACACAACAAAGCCAATAAATACAGAGCGAATAAGGTTTTTTAGCCCACCCTGTACGTTTACATACTTTAATCGAACTCAAATAGACCAAGACATCGTCAAAACGTTTATGTAAAAAGTAACAGGCTGCCATTGATTGTCTACCGGGAATCGTATCTTTGAAAAAAGTATGATGGATATCGTTAGAAGATTATAATGTGGTAACGAAACAAATTAAATAGTCTTAGATAAAAAGACGTGATATAGAGAGTAAAATATATCGAACAAATAACAATAACAATCAAAAGTAGAAATATGAGCGTTTTATCATTTTGAAATTGTAACATTTTAAATAGTAATTATCGACATAAAATTCGTATGGAATATTGAATTACAAAAAATCTGCAATATTGGCAAAGAAGTGGATCCGTATTTTGATTTCTATCCATTTTCAAACATTGTCTCAATGCAAATAATCTTCCGATACTGACGAGAAAAAAAATTCGCATTGTTCTGAAAAAAAACGCTCAATAATCACAAGTACTTCACACTGGTGGAAGTGTGAAGTACTTCTCATCTACAATCTGTTTAAAGGTGAATTCTGTCAAATGGTTTTTGCTTCATCTTTTATGCTACACTTTGAAAAAATTTAAAACGCAGCAGAAAATAACGCGTTCGATTACCAAGGCGAACGCGCTGGTGGTTAACGCATTCGTTTTCTCTAACGCGTTCTGACGCGTTGGATTTAAACACGTTTCGATGCGTTTATAGTTATACTAACGCGTCGAAAGGCGTTCATTTCCACTAAAACGCGTTACCCGTCCAAACTAACGCATTTCAACGCTCGTTGACTCAAAAAAAGGCTTGCCTGAGAACACTGAGAAGTATTTTCTAAAAACTTTATGTTCAAATATTGTTTCTCAATAGAGTTATGAATATTTTACGAGAATATGCCAAATTTCAAAAATAATTCGATGCTAATCACGCTTAATTGATGAGCACCATTTATATGATAGATAGCTGAAATAAAGAGCTTTCCAGTGAAGACTAACAAACTGTTTTTCTTCTGCGAAAAGAACGATGCATTCAGTTACAGATCAAAAATGGCCTAATGCACATATCTCTTGCACAAAACAGTCAAAATAACACGCGATAAAGTTTACGATCAGCATTTTGCATGTGATATCGAATAGCGAACTATAGGATTGATTTTAGGTGTCTTTTTTATACGGGCTCTATTCTTAATGGACACCGTAGTCTGTTCAAGTGATAAATTTGATACTTACCACATTCACTGACAGAACCACCAACTAATTGAAAATAAGATTGTGCTGTTTTCACATGATCTCTCTAAAATCAAATGTATATAAGATAGTACGACACACATCGTACAGCTCACAACAGATGAATGATTATTTACCGAATTTTTCTCTTGACCCCACGCTGCATTAACAACGCCTTTCAAAATGTACTCAGCTGGTTGAAGAGGTTCGACATCTTTCATTAGTTCATAAGCATTATCAAGATCATCTAAAAACATGCAAATAACATATATTTTTAATATACATTTTATATATTCAATACAAAATGTGTCTAGATTACCCTCTTTTAAATAATATACAACTAAATTCAAACGCGCTTCTGGAATAACATCTACAAGTGCCGGAAGCACTTGCAGGGCTCCCTCTCCATTTTGAAATACTACCTGAAATAGCGAAGATTATACAATTTTATTTTTACATCATACCAGTATAACATACCATATTATGACGAAATAATTCTTTTGCATAATTAAACGATGTGCTCATTTTTTCTAAAAATTGTTTTAAATCATTCTAAAATTAGGGAAATAAAATTAGACGTTCTTTTTTACAGATAGTCTGATGTATTGTTTACCTCTGCTGCTTTTCCATTATACAATCGATATTGATTACATGCACTTAAATTAATTGCTGTAGCTGATTCTGGATGTTTTTTGAGATAAACATCGAGTACTTCTTGAGATATATCATAATAATCGAGTTTATAATAACATAATGCAACATAAACGTTAAGTGCCAACGAATCTCTAAATACAAATGAATATTACTTGAATAAAATATGTTATTTAAGGCGAGCATGAATAAAATAAAAATATATTAAATGCAAGTAAGACATGCCTATTTTCTACCAGATATCTTTTGTAAATATCAATTGCTTCTTGATAATGATTTCTCATGTAATGCATTGATGCTAAACACATTTGATCTTCGATAACGTCTTGTAATTGTCGGTGTAAATCCATTAGTTTTTCTTCATTATTTTGTTTATGAGCAACATGAAATAGAACACGTGTTTGTAACGGTGACTTTGGGCCTAAAAAATATTTAATGCATTTAGACAAATACAATAACTGTCAAAAATATTTACCTTTCATGGCAGCTTCTTCTGCTTCCTTATACATTCCAAGCATAAATAAACAACAGGCCAAATAGATCTGTACATGCCCATTCTTTGGATCTTTTCGAAGAATTTCCTCATATTCCTTTAAAATATACATAAAATCATGCAATATTTCAGTAGAAAAAAAATTGGCGTTGCTACTTCTCGTGCTCGTGAATAAAATGATGCGTGAAATGCAGCATAAGCCAACCATAAATCAAGATCTTTGACTTCTTTTTTATTTTGACGACAAAACTATGAGAGAAAATATCAATGCTTCTTTATTGTCAATATAAATTATGTATCATACTTCTAAATAAGCAATAGCGCCGGTATAATCACGTGCAGCAATAAAATCTTCAACTTCTCCAATTTTCTTCTTTTGTTTATCTTGCGATGTTGTTTGAACTTTCTTTTTTGGATCATCAGCAGCCTTCGATCGTGAAAGAATCTATGGAAAACATACGATATTTATGCAGTAAAGTGTTGAGAATGCTTATTTTTTCTACATACCATGATTCTCTTTTCAAGAAGAAAGCTATAGGAAAATAATCTAGAAGGGAGAGCAAAAATATTCGATTCATTGGATGACAAAACTTGTTTTCATAGGAATACTTCACGAGAGAACGTTTCTGAGTCTAATGAGGTAAAAAAAGCATTTCGGTTATGGGTGAATTATACTTCTTAATTGTCGTTCCAAATCCTTGTTTTTTTTAACTTTGGAGTTTTGACAAGGACTAACAACGAACGATGACAATCCACCTTTACAATGAGCTTTTCTGCTCTAAAAATTAAAGTAAAATTTACGACGTTCCTCTAAAATTCAAGATGGACAATGTTTTTTCGAACGAGCACCGCCAGCACAGAACAAGCTTCGTGTGCGGGTACCTCGATCTGTTGTTTTATCAGCATCGTTTCAGTTGACTGATCTAAGTGTACTTCCTATTTGCAAGGATACAAAGAGGAAAAAATAACATTTTAAGTCCAAAAACAAAGTAGTACTTTTGTAGCGATGAGAAAAACAACGCGCATTTTTCTTAGCGTAGAGATAAGAGTGAAAATTACACTGTCAAAGTAGACGATCACTTTGCTTCTACTTGCAGTCAAACAAACGAGTGCTGGAAACTACTCTATTTGTTCAAATCACTTGGTTTTGATCTAAAAACGTTCTAGATGATCAATTGAAAGAACCAACTAAGCCTATATTATAGAGAAGTCGAGTGAGTGCGATTAAGTTAGAGCGAAGACGTGTCTATCACATTCAACTATCAACTACAACGAAAACAGCCATTATTAAAATTAATAATAGCACCGATAATAGCATCGCTTATTTTACAAAGTGTAAAAATAACACCATTTCAATTAAGTAAATTTCTTAAATCACGTATGTCAAACGTTAAATTAATGTACATGCAAGCGAAGAGAAATGGATCATTGTGCGCAGAGACGCACAGTGTGCAACCAGACGGACATTAGGTGAAAAATAAAAATCGGCTTCTCGACGATTCAAATAGTACTAGATAGTGTCAAGTGATGCTCTATCTAATGGCACAAAAAATTTTGTTACAAAAATTATGTAGGATGGGAAAATCAGCTATTCAAAAATTAGTCGGAAAAGAACGTCATCGGCAAAAAATCAATTTTACACAAAAAATGAACAATCTGGTAATCAAATTGTAAATTCTGAATCTTCACATCGTTTAGTGCGTAAAAGTAAACAACGTTCTTAATTTGGGATGGAGTTTGTTGATAAAAAAATAAAAGTTTTTCCTAAGTGGTTTTCCGAACGGCTATTTTCAGTAAAATGGGTGCTTCCCCTACAACCTAATTCAAAACTCTTCCATACCTTTACAGAATATTTTCCTACATGTCCTGCATCTATGGTAAACGCCTAAACATGCATAAACACTCCCGGCACGTACGGTGGATTTTCTAGAAACCCTAGATATTCCAGGTATTTTCCATTTATCTCGAACCGGAAATGTTTTATTAATGCTTTTATTGAAATTGTATAGAATGATGTGCGATTAGTAGGTTTTTCTGGGCAAAAACTTATCGGATCTAATCAAACGCTAAAGTTGACGCATAGCATGACAATTGTGGCTAAGGATTTTGATATTTGTTGTGAAAGCAATTCGAAAGCCTACAAACACTTTTTTTTGTAGGTTTTCAGATATGCTCTCTCCAATGGTGCGCTTTATAAAGTTTCAGAATACTTATGTATGGGTTTTCTAGAGATCCGGTCTCCCAGATGAAACCCAGATGAAAGTCTCTTTAAACTTTGTAAAGCAAACCATTGGGAAGAGCATATCTGAAAACCTATAAAAAAAGTATTTATAGTGTTTTGGACTGCATCTATAACAACTATCCACCTGGCCTATAGAAAAATGCACACTGTGGGGTGCCGATAAACTAAGAAAATTTCGTATGATATATCGGCACTTTTTCAGCACCGATGCACACCTGTGCCAATGAAAAGTATCAATCCGCAAGGGTGTGCATCAATGTGAAACTTGAAAATCTTTCTGGTACTTGTGCACACCGGTGTCGAATAAGTGCAAGTAAACAATTTCCTTGCAGAGGAGTCGTTGATATTCCACATCCCTACGGCTCCTGACAGTAAAAGTCCAGAAAAAGTCTGGGCAACTGTGAAACATAACTACACTAAGAGAACGAAACAGACTCATTCAGGTATACTCAAATATCATAATCAGACGGCGTAGACCAATCGCGAGAAAGCTCAATTCTTTGCAGCCTATTTCGATCAGGAGGTGTACAAGGCGAGAGAAGATGATCTTGCATTCCACCATCACGTAACAAATACGGTGCGGGCGAAACTAAACAATCTAAACAAGAAGAAAATTATTCACATGTCCAAAATTACTAAAAAAAAGGTGCCTTTTATCTGAACAGACTGAAAGGCACATCTCCTGGGCCCGATAATGTCCATAATATATGCCTTAAAAATTACATACCATCACTTGTAAGCCATCTAACACTTATTTAACAAAACAATAACTTTTGGCCATGTTCCGAAGCAGTGGAAAAATGCCTACATTATATTACTTTTAAAATCAAAGAAAAGAAAGAAAGATCCCTCCAGTTGTCGTCCGATTAGCTTGTTAAGTTGAATTGAAAACATTATGGAGAAGACAATGAAAGATCGGCTGACGGCAGTATTGGAAGAAAGGAATATCTTACCTCAGCATCAAACTAGCTTCAGATCCCAAAAGAATACTCTGTATAATATTCTGAAACTTCAAACCATTTCAATAAAGCATCTTAACAACAAGATTCACTCGGCCGTCAGCTTTTCGATATACAGCAGGCATCTAATGCTGTTTGGCACACTGCTTTAATCTACAAATTATACGATCTGAAGCTACCAGACTATATCACTCGTTGGGGAATAGCTTTTCTCGTTGAGAGAACAGCAGCAATTGCGTTTCAAAGTTATCAGACAAATTTAGTTCAAAAATTTAGTGCGGTAATAAACTGTTGTGTCCTCATCTCACAGAAAAGACATTAATGAGTTGGTGTCCATGGTTGCTACCTCTAACTGTAGATTGGACTAATATTTCTCGTCTTTATCTCCTTATGAGTATAAGGAGGTCGTTTTGTGAAGCTCTATTGGTGTTTATTGTCAAATGAGAACTCCCAAAATTTGTCTCTTGTGCGAGTAAACGCTGATGTAGGTATTGTGACAGACACGTTCATTTAGTGTTCGTTTCAACTGTGTCAGCACGGCTCATCGTCAACCACTATCAGTCTGAAAAGCGATTGAGTATGAATCGATCGATGCTAAAGTGCTGGAAGGTATATGCTGATGTCGGTAATCGAAAGTTTACAGTCCGTTAAAAAATAACTTTAGTCGATGATCATTTACATCAAAAAGTGTCTATGGTGCTTGTGCAGTTAAATAATATTCGTATCATACTCACCCTGTATTGTAGCGTGAGAGTTCCCCGACTACATGGATAAATTGCACAGTAGTAGTAGTATCCCCCTACTTCAGATTAAGACGTGTTCAGATATCTTAAACATTTTCAAGTCAACAATTGCTATCATAAATGTGCAAAAATCATTCAAAAACCCCGGTCATGAACTAAAGTCACCTTTCTAAAGTGCATCAGTAATTAAACTAGCAACATCTACTAGACTGCAGTAATCAGTGTTTTTAGTAGGAATTTTCTTCAGAGTGAAACTTTCCATTTTGCTGTTAGTATCAAAGTGGAATTTTTCACTTTAATATGAAACATAACGTGAACAATATGGGAACAGTTGAAATTTTTGTCTAATAGCGACTAAAAGAGTTCTTTTTATCGTGACAGGATTTCGTTTTATTACTTTCAGTTAAATGGATCGAAATTAACTTCTCTATCCTGATCAATTACAAATTTAGCGAACAGACTTTGTTTGTTTATTGCAAGACATCCTGCTGTCAGTCATCTCAGATGACTCATCTAAAACAAAATGTAACTAAAAGCTGTAAACTGAATACTCCTGAAGAAAAAGAAACACTGCAAAACTTTTATAGGTTTAGACAGAAGTCACCCATTTTGCTCTCCCTTGTCGCACTAATCATTAAAAACACTGGTAGCAATAACAATATCCGGAAGTCAGTTTGCTCAATAATAACATATTACGACGTTTGGTAGCGTTCACTTAAGTCTACACTAATGATCATGGACTTGAGAATATTGATCGAATGTCTATCTCAGAGTAAATAATCTTCCGACGAATTTTTAAAAATACGATTCAATATTGATGTTTTCGTCGTTTTCTATAAGTGCTTTGCTTGATGTGTTTATCAATATTTTGAGCTACGCCTTTCCTGATCACATTCTAGCAGCCAGTCCGTGCAGACGAGAATGAACAATCATTAGCATTCGTTTTTTTCTTTGGGTTTTTGAAATAAATCTCTCTACTCAAACACACAAATATTTTCGGCTGATACAGTTTTGCAAGATTTATCATCATCTTAGTACTCTTTCCTTTTTTATCATGTTCCTCGTACTTCTTCTTTATGTTGTCATCATTCGAAATATGTTCGTATTCCACCTGTAAATGGTTTTTCTTCACAAACAGTTTCTTCTTCCTTCTTTCAGTCAACTGGTGCTGATTGGAATAATCTTCCGGAGTCAGTCATTCGTTCTTCTCCATTGTCATTTAAAATAGCATCTCTACAGTTGAATGTAGCCATATTTACAATTAAAAACAAATCCAGTGATGTTACTCTTTATTTTGTACTTTTTTTCTTAACTCTCTGTTTCGTACACCGGTTTACTTCTTTTTTATTTTATTTCTCTATTTATAGTTTCTTCTGTTGTTGTTTGGCTCCAGTCATTATTATCATAGGACGGGGACGTTGGATGACTCTCACTTTTTGTGAATAAATACTGCTACTACTGCTACTACTACACATTCATTTAAAATGTAAATAGCAGGTGACGAAGCTAGAAATAATTACCTAGCTCGAATTTACAGTAACCAATAAATATAATAATTTTAACCTTTGTGACCAGATCATATGATAAACATCGTTGATTATATGAAGGTTCAGCAGATGTTTTAAGAGTATGATCTACTTTTTCAGCTTTTACACATAAAGAACGTTCCATAATAAAAATAGTTTTCTGATGGAAAGCTGTCAGTATTGGAAACATTCTTGAAAATACTTGACCTTCTAGATAAAATAGTGTCTTATTGATAATATTTTGCAATGCATGATTTTACTGCGCTTTTCGAAGCGCTTCGATCAATGTTCTCGTCCAATGAACAAATCGATACTATGAAAGCTCATATTATCATTCAAAATAAAGACAATTTGCTCAATGTCATATCGAACAAGGTATTGTCATTTTCTTTTCACTCATACTTTACTACTTATCGTATCTTTCTGTTCAAGCCACGTGATTCGACGCATCATGATACTATTGCACGTGCCGATAGAGATGGCATACAAATTGAAGGAATACCAGAAAGACGTAAATTACCAAGAACAGTAATCGAGGAATGTTTTGCATTAAGTGATTTATTTGATATTGATGAACATCAATCATTATTAATACTTCTAGAAGGTATTTATATATTTTACTGTGAAAAAAGAGTATAATTGTAACTAGTTTTTTCTTAGGCGAATCACTATTACCAAACTATCCAGATTGTACACGAGGCTTACTTGCCGTACAACTTTATTATGAATCAAAAGAACGTTTATCAGCTTGTTTGGCCTATTTAATGGCTGGTATACGTGGTCGTACATTTCAACCGTTAATTAAATCAGAGGATTTGATTGATTTTTGTTCACATTTTGTTGATGAATTAGTATCACAACGTTTAATTGAGAATATTGTTGGTATGTAGTTTGGTATGCATATGCATGTAAAAAGAACAACATCAGTATTATTTATTTTAGATCAACTAATTAGATTTCAGTTTTCTACTGAAGAACAAAAATTATACTCGAAAGCTGGATTAGGAAATGTTCGACATAGGCGTCGAGTAAGTTTTATTATTTTGAAAGAGACAGACGCTAAAAGAAAGAAATTTTTATATTTTAGGTATATGATTATATTAGAAATGTACGGTGTTTTCAAAGTAAAGCATTATTTCTATACAGTTGTCAAGTTCGTTTAAATCAATCACATATTATGGCAATTATCAATTATTTGGCAAAATATACAACTGTGCAAGAAGATGGAGTTATTGATGATTCAGCATTATATTTACTTGGAGCATTTTTGTACGGTATCACATTGAAAACCACATCTGCAACAACACAATCAATTCATAAACAACAATTTAGTTTACAAGAAGGTAATTGGTATTTTTTTTCTGAGTAGTCATCATCGCTACTCAGATTTCTCTATTTTTTTAAGTAGTATAAGCTTGGTTTGGTGTTATTTTGATTAGAAGACATGTGGTTAGAACTGCCAGATTTTTATTTTCTCCTGTGGAATAAATTTTTCCGAAAACTTAGCCAATCGATATTTTAAATAAGATTATATCAGAAAAATTAAGTACTCATGTGTGTAAATATGTCTTTTAGATCAACCATTGAGTCCATCAACGCCATTAACAGCCGGAACGACAATTGATCCAGCATTCATTACAGCAATTCATGATACATTAACGAGTGATGAACGTTGGGTAATACCTGAATTGAAAGCTGTCTGTCAATTAGCATGGGCTATCACTCTGAGAGCACGTTTACAAGCATTAACAGAAGGTAATAAAATGTGATAGCTATTTTTAACTGTAGTTATTCTCTCAAGTTGCTTTTTTACTTTTCTAGCTGGTATAAATAATGCTGAAGATATTGAAACATTGGCAGATATGGCTGTCGAATCACATGTATTCGCTTTTATGATACATACTGTAATAAAAAGCCCGTTATTTCAACAAGAGGTATTTCAATACTAGTCTTGATTGAATAAATTCACCATTATTACGTTTTAATTGTAGGAATTTATCATTAGACGATTTCATGTGTTATTTGTCGATTTTATCTATTATTTACCATTCAAGCTTAAAGAATTACGTGTTCAGGCAGAAGATACTGCGCGTACAATAGAAGATTGTGAGCGATTTGGCAAAGTATTACCGGATAATTTACCACGTGATTATGAATATTTACTTGAATTAGTAAATTTAAAAAAGTTATGCGTTTTATATTAGTATTTTAATATTATTGTCTTATTGTAGTTGTCCAAATTTTACGCTAATGATCCAATGAAATTACAATTATGTGAAGAATTTTGGTGTGCATCCGATGCTCTAGCTCAACAACGAATGATTAATCCTCCAACACAACAACAGGTATGAAATAGTATTATTTTTTAGTAGATCGTATTTGTTTCAATGCTAACCTGTTGTCTACTTTAGGTTGCTTTATCAAATTTTGTTGAATCTGCTGGTGGTACATTGTCAGCCTATTTATATTGTCATTATATGCATATGTTAGCTGGAATATCGTCAACTCAATTGAGTGCTCACGCTTGTTTCTCACTATTACGTTTTGCTAAAGGTAATTTTTTTCTTAGCATAGATTAACAATACTAATGATCTAGATACATGTAACAAGAATAAAATTTTATTATTAGATTTGAGAAATAAAAACGCTATAATTTCGTTCTGAAACAAAAGATTTACTGTTTTTCTTTTAAGATACTGGTGGTCCAACTTGTTGGAATAGAATATTTCAAGCATTTCAATTATATCGAAATACCTATCGACCAGAAATTATTCTTAGTCAGCAACAACAACAACAACAACCACAACTTCTTGGCTATACACGTTCACCATCCAAAACAATAGCACCCAAAGAAGTTACGGCATTACTTGCTGTTTTGAATTTAATTGAAGTTATTACAACACAAGTACATAACATTTTCATATTATAATAATAATTAATATGTTAACTATCTGTATATTTATTTAGGATGAAATATCTCGTATTAGCTTTTTTGAACATTCTCAATGGCAAATAACATCATCGTTTTTTGGATTAATTAGTTGTAAAGTATCATTAGATTTAAAATCATCATTATTCAATACATTGGCTGCATTTACAAAAACACCAGAAATAGCCGTTCAGTTTTGGAAATTAATTGGTGATATTGATGTATGTTTACCCTCGATTGAATAATACAGTATATTTTTATTTTTGCTTTGTTTTTCAGTTATTTGCACCGCTTGAACATCATGATGTACCAGCTATTGTGTTCGAAATTGAAGAACATGAGGTGCCATCACAAAAATATCCATTTCTTCGTTCATGTTTAAATTTTTTAAAACCAATATTAATAACACAAATTAAATTATATTCAAATACGGATACACGTACACTTGGACATTGTGTCGTATTTCTCGTTAATCATGTACTATTAAAATTACCGGTGCGAATATTTAAATCTTTGCAAGAAAAAGTAAGTAACTGATCGCGTTGTTTTGTTCATACAAAGAAGTCTGCAATGATACAATGTTAACAAAGATTGGACAGGATTTATTTTTAAGTTTTGCATCTTATTCTCGATTTATAAGAAACTTTTCATTTTGTTCTAAAATTTTTCTCGTCGAGTTTTGAAAACTTGCTTGCTAATTCAGATAAATTCTTTACATCTCACCCATTTTAGACTCTTAGTGCACTTTAGTGGTATATCAATAAGATTTTTATGGACTCGAGTAGTATAGAAAATTTCTCATACAACTAAAACGCATTTTGTTATCGAAAAAAAAGTGTTTATGTACAATATCTAAAATAATGAGAAAATATTCAACACTCGCGGATTTAACTCAAATACCAATCTCTCGATTTCCCAATAAGGGAAGTAGGGGGAGGTGCTGACCTCTCCCTAAAAAATTTTTTGGGCTTTCTAACAAAATCTTTAACTTTTTTCCACCAGCAACTTTCTGACAAAAAAATTTCGAAAACTTCTTTTCGCCAGCTACTTTCTGTGAAGCAAAATTTTTAGCCCCTCCCATCCGTAAGGACAATCGAAAACCCTGTTCCCAATGGTAAAATAATGAATGTTAACATCATGTTCTTAATCTTATCGAGCGAAAAGCCTCTTCTATTTCACATGTCCGAGTCGACAACCACGCAAAGAAATATCTCGCATATTTTCCGTAAAAAAAGCTCACCAAACTCCTGTTATGTAGCCCACGCAAATTTTACAGGAAACAGTTTTCCAACTTTTCTCGCATGTATTTGAATATTTTTGAAATTTTTATAAATTTTAATTAGCTTTGTGCTCGCAGGTCGTTGTGTCATAACGACTTTCTCTGACAGTTTAATCACCACTCACTAAGGAAAAATTTTCCAAGTTCTTTTGAAAAGAATGTGGTTTATTTATAATTCTTGTTCATACAAACCAAAATGGGAAATAACTTTTCGACATCGAGGAGCAAGGGTGATTATTCTCAGAAATCTCTCTCCTTCAAGAATTTCTCAAAAATCGTGATTTTTTTCGAAAACGAAATTCTTTCAGGATTTCGTCCGAAATAGTCGATTAGGGTGTGATTTGATGGGAGCAAACTAATATAATGTTAAATGATGCTTTGATAAACACTTTAAGCTCTCTATTTAAAATAAGTCTCTCTGACTCACTGAAAAAACGTACACTCTACAGGTATATTCTAAAAGTTTTCACATATTTTTTCACAATTTCAAATCAGCACATATGATTATCATATATCATATGATAGGACTTGATTTCTGATTTCATTGAATTTTTGAAATTCTTGAATGGCTTCTGTAAAACTTTGTTTTCTTGTAAAAAAAAAACATAATTGAAAAGTGAAATGTTATCTATCGATACTGTTCTATTTTCTTTCCTGCCAGAAAGATAACAATAATTCTTACGCTATTATTTTGGGAAATATGGAACGCTGTGAATAAAGAAACGATACACGCGTTTTTATTAAGTACAGTAAGTACGATAAGTCATAGTTCAAATTTGAGACACGTCTCATTTTAAAGAGCGCACGTTCGTCTGCATGATTACATAATTTTTCAACAAAATTCAGTTAAATGTAGCAGAATGATGATATAGATGACTAAATAGTGATGAATTTTTGAGAGGCGCCCTTAAACATTTTGTTCTTTTAGTCGGTAGCTTGTTTTCACGTGACTGGTACCGAAAGTTTTGTTAACATGATGGAAATAGGTGAATGCAGGAGAACTCGCTGATATCGGTGAGTAGCGTGCGTCATTATCCTCCTCCTTTTTCTTCATTATCTAAACATCAAATTTTTTATCAGATTATTAGTAATTCTTTTTTTTCTTTTCATTTTAGTGGCAAATAGCTGAGACTGTTTTATTTATATTATATGAAATTGTCTCTGTACATTTTTCAAATCGTCTTATCGAGTATGATAGTACAAATGAACTACAAAATGTATCACCGGCATCATTACTTGTAACGGATTTACTACGTGGTGGAGCACTTTATACACTGGTTTGTTCATTGTCGATCCATTTCTTATATAATCGTCATTTCATTTACTTTTTTTGTAGTTAATAACATTGATTAATGATGGTTATACTAAATTAGCTGAGTATACGTCATTTACTGGTAGGATACGCATGTTCATGTTATAAACATCAAAACTATTGTTCCTATTACTTAAGGTGAACAGGAATTATCGAAAACATTAGTTCATATTATGAAATTATTTGAACTTATTACATTGAACAGTTTAGATGCATTACAGTCTGATAAAACATCGTCATTTTCATTTTCTCAAACACCCATTGAACGAATGTTAACTGAAACAAATACAAAACAACATGAAAAACAAGAATTATTTTTGAATATAATGAGGTAAATTCGTCTACGATTGATTAAACGTAATAATTTTAAAAGAAAAAAAAATTCTATTTCAGATTCATTGACATGATTGATTACTTTCCATTATTGGCATCACAATCGTTATCGATATTTTCCAAAGCTGTTAGTGAAGATAATTTACAAAAACCATTTTTACGCCTATTGCCAAAAGATCATGTAGGCTATTTAGTAGAAAAGAGATGATATTTTGTTCATAATATTTATTGTTACTTTAGAAAGACAAGGCACTATTAAGAAATGGTCTAGTACGATGTATTGAATTTACCGAACCAGATTTTGATACAACTCTCATGCATGATGTGGATAATGATGGTAAGATACGTTTTTTTTTTCTTCTATTATTTATCTCATCAAAGAGTATTTTAACAAAAAATTGTTTTCTATTATATCTAGACTTGTCATTTTTAAAATCACAAATGCGTCAAACTGTTTTATGGTTATTAACAAAATCGATTCGATTTCTTACCGCAAATCAATCAAATATTGGTTTATATTTATGTGGTTTTACTCGTCAATTACAATTAGAACCAATTGATTATTATTTAACATTAACTGGTAAAAGTTGTCGTGTAAATAATTGTCTAAATTCAATTTTATCATTTTTGGATGATTTATCATTAACATCATCATCAACACAACTATTAAATTATAAACAAACAATTCCCATGTGTTATGAAGTTTTATATAATCTATGTTGTACAAATAATAATGTATGTAAAATAACATTTGATTTATTACATGAACAATATTTTTTACAAAAACAAATTCAATTATATTTACCAATTATGTCAACAACAGAGGCTTTATTTAAACTTTCATTTGAAACTTATTTATTACGTTTAATAACATTAGATCTATTTCATTTACAAAATGATGATTCACTAGTATCAAAAAATATTATTCAAACAACTATTAATCTTCTATTTGATACAATTGATATTAAGAAAAAGAGTCGTTTAACAAATTTATTAACTATGAATGATTTTAGTATTTGTAGTGATAAACGATTTGATTTATCAACAAAATTAAAAACACCCAATATTGATATGACAAAAATAGAACATGTACTAAAAGCTTGTACATATGTAGAAAAAAATAATTTAAAATTATATCGAATAGATTCATTACGAAAATTTTTAACAAATGAATTAAAATATATTCAACGAATATCAATGACATCATTATCATCAGATATTGAACAACAACAACAATCACATAATGATGAAACAATAGAAGATAGTTATTATAATGATTGTAAAACAATAATATCGTATGCAAATCAATTAAATAGTGAACAAATTGAAACATATTGGAAATATGAATTTGTTGATGCTTGGCGTACATTAATTGAACTTTTATTTCAATTATCAAATAAATATTATGATAAATTAACTTTTATTGTTGAATTATGTCATTATTTATATGAAAGAATACAAAGTAAAACAGATTTTAGTCAACAACATGTGAGTCTATTGGCAACAGTCTATCTAATGGCCATAACAACATTAAAAAATGAATTAACAAACAATAGTAATCTATTAGAATATAAATCAAAATTTTTAATTATCCTAAAAGAATTATTGATATTAATTAATTCACGTTTTACATCAATTGCTCGATCTTGTCTCTATAGTTCTATTGCCAGATGTATAGAATTAATACAATTTATCAGTTCAGATCAACAAGAATGGTCTACACATCAAGATCTTCGACGAGTATTAATCCAAGGATTAACAAATAATAGTGATCTGTTAACAATTTTATATGATGATGCATTATCCGTTGTGTCAGCAGTTAGAGTAAGTGAGAAAGATCAATACAGTGGGCAATTTTTGGTATATCATACGTTCATTAGATTTTTCCTCTGAGTTCTAAGAAAAATATTTTTTCGCTGATATATGTAGCTGAAGGAGTCTACATTCATAATCCGTACCGTTTTTTACTTTTGAATTTCGTCGAATTTAATAAAAAATTCTTATCTCATACCTCCTTGTTTTCAAACTAAATTCAGACAATGTATTTTACCACGAAAAAACAGTGTACTTTCGATTTTTTTGCTAAATGCACTCATCAATGCCCACTGGTGGGAGTAGAAACCGAGTAACGATCGAGTGATTAATTTTTCATTCTTATTTTAGTCGGCAGCTTGCAGCTTATTAACATTGTTGTCATCAATTGATTCATCTGGAGTTGTATTATCTCGTTTAAGTCAAACGTTTATTCGTTCATTAGAAAGTGAATTACGTCAGTTAACTAGTCAATATGTACATTCATTGCAAACACAAGGAACAGTGGATCTCAAAACATGGCATTCATTCTCGTCCTATATGGTAAATAGTAGACTATTGGATAAATATCTTTTTTAAACATCATTTCTTTTTCTAGGCACTCTTGTTACGTATAGCATCGATAAACGAAGGTGCCGAAATACTCATTTCAACTGATTTATTTGATGCATTACGACCAATTGCTGATTTTAATTCAGATGCTCGAGGTTTACAGTAAGTAATTGTATCACTGAATATTGTAAACAAAAGACACTAGTTATTTATCATTTAGAAATGATACGGGTGAACGTAGTGGTCGTTGGATGTTTGGACGTGCATTATCATTCGTTGTTGATTTAACTGTCTCATCCATAACAAACATTCGAACAAAAGATAGAGTAAGTTGTTCTGTAATCAGACATGTGAACCGATAAAAAAATTTTGACGACGGTGGTGAAAGTTTCTGAGAGCTTCCTCCACCTTAATGAATTCATTTATAACGTTATCGTGTCTTTTCGCCCCATTTTCTCTTGGTTCTTTCTACTCAGTTGCTACTTCTCATTTTTTATGTTAACAAGAAACTGGCATCACTTGTCCTCGCCCTCAATAAATGAATAGCGGCGACGGCAAGTAGAAATTGTTCATTGCCGAGTCGAATCTTTTCAAAACTTATCAAAGTGAAGGTTGGGTTTTCACGCAGAAATTCTAACTTCTTTATTTACCACAATAAGAAATTACTCTTAGAATTCGTAAACAGACATAACACCGATTATTTTCTTTCACAATGTAATAACACACGAACAAAAGGAATCAGGAAAAACTTTTTCCCTCATACGTAGAGATATCGGAATATAGAACTATACTGTAGCGTCAGTTTGCTTTAGCCGTAATAAACTAGTAGAGGATTTTCTGTAACGTTAGTCGCTCTTTCTAGATTTTCATCCTTTGATACTCTCCATCTTCTCGTCTTCAAGGTTTGATTCAAGCTTCATGGTCCATAGGAAAATCGACGTTGTAGTATAGTTCTATGTTCTAACATCCTTCCTCATACGGCTTAAGAAGAAATGGGACACTCTGTACTAGAAATAATTGTTTAAAACTTTTGACTTCACTCTTCTTGGTAGCGATGAATCAACACATATCTCTATTTATAACATTGTCTTGTACATCTGTGCTTTTTTTCTGTTCTAGGTTTATCAATTCATCGTTCACTTATCAAATTTATTAATGAAATTGCTGATGAATCCAATTGATAGTTTATGTTCATTGCATGAAATCGACACCGTTTTGAAAATAGCCCATGTTTTAGATAAAACAGGTAGAATGAGGAACTAACTCAATGTAAATAGATTTTTCAAACATATGTCCCTTGTATAGAAAGTGCATCACCACAAAGCACAATTGACTGGCAATTACAACGTTTGCGTCGTTTATCTCTTCAATTAATTGTTTATTTATCACGTGATGATCTACTTAACCGTCTGTTATCTCAAGCATTAGGAAAAGACAAGGATGATATCAACACATTTCGTATTCGTCAAATAATTACTGCAACATATTGGCGTGTGTGTTTTTATGTTTTTGCCATTGGCGCAAAAATGGTTCAAGGTTGTTAGTTTAGTTTTTATATTCTCTTATCAACTATATATGGTTCGCTTACTTTAGAATCGTACGAATCTGTTACACCTAAGACAGAACAATTATTTAATTTGACTTTTGCTAATCGTAGCACAGGTATGTGAAATATAACTAGACAACCATAAGGTTAGGAGTCGTTTTTACTGTTTGTAGAAAATTCATCTGTTTCTAATCAACCATCACTTAATTTGGGTATGATTGTTAGTATTTTACAAGAAGCAACACGTCATTTAATTAAATCACTTGATAATTATGATTTGATCAATGAAAACTTTAAAGAACCAAAAGAAGACAACAATGAACAGTCTAAAGTAAGAGATAAATGAGAAATATATACATTTTTTAAAACATTAACTGTTTTGAACTCTTTTAGACTGATGTATTTAGTAATTTAATTCAAACAACAATATCGAACATTGATTTAACTATTGATTCAAAACGAAAATATTTGGAATTGTTTGTTAATGAAACATCATATTTGATCAGCACCCTTGAAGCTGGCTTGTATATTTTATGGAAAACACTATCGAGTGTATTACAACCAATCGATGATATTTCTTCGTCAAGGACAAAAATAAGTAAGCAACCAGTTTTATCACTGTTTTATTTTTTTTAACGAAAAAACTCGTTCATTTTTTAGATTTTTTTCAATCGTCGCATACTCATCAGAGTCATAATGAAGATTATCGTACATTAAAAATGGCTTTACCACAATATATACCAGTTGTATTCTTGAATGCATTGATTACTACTGAAGAAGTATGTTGAAAAATACAACCATTAAAAGAAAAGTTAATATTTTGTATATTGTTCTCTTTTTCTTTCTAGCGTTATATTCGTACAATGAATACAACATCAACATTAATTAGTCCATTGACCGTTCGATTGCAATCAATGTTTTCGGATAATGCATATGAACTATAAAGCTGTTTTTTAAAGCTGTCTTTATTGTTATTGTACAGAAATAAACTTTAGGAAATTATTGTTCTTAGTTCTACAGTTCCTTTTTTGCTTTATTTTTTTGATGAGAAAAGTAAACTGTTGAATTGTACTGAAAAATGATTAATGCGATATTTTCATTTTGAAATAATTTTCGTTCAATACACAAGTGGGAAAAAGAACAATGCTAATAAATCTATCTTAAGAACCGTTTGTGATAATTTAAGCATTGCTTATATCGAGTCTTGTTTAAGGTAAAATTTACACTACCCTATAAAAAGAATTCCAGTACGCACCGATGCGCACCCGTGCCCAGCAGGTGCCGAACCAGTGCCGATTGGCACCCGTTCCGGTATATTTTGCCCAAAAAGTGCCGTACTGGTAAAAATCAGTGCCGCATTGAAATTTATTTGATCAATTTAATTAGTTTTTTATTATAGATGTTTATACTGAATTTTGTATTAGAGTGCGACACTGATCAGTACCACATTGACATGCGAAAACTATGCGGCATTGCTTCAGCACTTCCCTTATGAGAAGGTTTTTTATACTAAATGTGTTATTTGCACGAACTAGGAATCTTCTTGATTTTGCTTGGATGAGACAGAGTAAAACAAGTGACTTAACAAACAAAACCCGTAATCTAATACTTTCAATTGCTCTAAACTATGGATATAGTCCTCGATTCTCGGCGCAGTTAGTTTTCGTAAAAATTTACAGTGAACAACGGCATAATACCAATATAATTATAACAGCAGATACACCGGTGCGAGATTTTTAGATTTTTTATGGATCAGTGTGCGCCGATGTCATAAAAAAATATTTCGTTTCGCACTGATGCACATTGATGCCAAGTTTCTGTTTCAATCACCATTTTGTCTTGTTATTATTCATCTATATAAACACCATAGTATACTTGTAATATTTCGAATATCGTTTCGGTCCACATCTTTTACTTCTCATAAGAGAAGTGCCGAGGCTATGCTGTATGATTATGGAACGGCATGAGCACTGATGCATATAGCTGATGCCGATCCTTTTTTTTTCATTGCCGCATCGAATTGTTTTTTTATGGGATGGTACTGAAAAAAACAATGCAGCAAAGGCTGCATTGAATTTTTGCAATACGGTATCATTTTTGACGTGAAAAATCGGCATTGTATGGCATCGATGCCACTTTGGTATTGTTTGGCATCGTTCGGACGTCAGTGCGCACCGATCTTTGGCGATGCCAGTGACACATTGTATGGCATGCGCACCGGTGCGCATCGCTGATGCCAATCATTTTTATTACGATGCTGTATAGAATTTTTTTTATAGGGTTTACGTTCTTTCTGGTACCGGTGCGCATCCGTGCACAATCGGTGCCGTTAAAATATTTTTTTGCAGGGTATGGTGAAAACTAGGTATTTAAATTTAACAATCTTTCGAGATCTAAACATTCTTCCGTAAATTTAACGCCAATTTGCCCCACGAGCACAGCAGCTAGATCATCAGCAAAGAGAAATGACATTGCTCCTGGGATGAAATATTCCATATCAGCGTGATATGTTATAAAGAGAGTTGCTGTAAAACTCGATCCTTGAGATCCCCACGATTAATAGGAAACCATCTAGAGCGTTCACCTAATATTTCAATAACAGCACGTCTCTTAATTAACCAGGCATAGATCCAATCAACACGGGTCAGGTATACCTCCCTTTCTTAGTTTACCGATACATCCCATAAACCATAATTGATCAAAAGCAGATTTATAATCCACAAAAACAGTTGCTACTGGTGAACTGTTAGCCATATAGGATGAAATCTGTTCTATACGGAGTAGTACATGAGTCTGTAATTGTCGTCCAGTTATAAATCCTGATTGAGAATTAGGCAGGATGCCCTTGTTTTCTAATATTACCAGAAAACGATTCAAAAATAATCGTTCTTGTACTTTCATAAAATTATCAATTAACGATATCGGTCTTGTTTGATCTGGTTTACATATAGCACCTTTCTTCGCTAATAATACCATGTGAATTTCTTTGAATTTATCTGGTATTTCACAAGTTTCAAATGAGTAATTATACAGCTCCACCATGAAATGCCAGTAATTGTTTGGCATTTTACTAAGCATAAATGGTGACAATCCATTAATATCATAAGAACGTTTTCTTATCTTGTTTTCAATAATTTAATAATTTCTGGGTATGTTACCTGAGGTATTTGCATATCGCTATCGGCTTGTCTATCATATGGTATATCAGTATAAGGGTGTGGACGATAAACAATAGGTTCTTCAAATAACTTCTCACAATATTCAGCAGCCATCTCTGTCATTTTACCAGGATCTTTTTCAATTTCTTCATTAGGTAAAGTGAAACCACGAAGTGCAGCACTCGCATTACGAAATTGTTTCTTTGTTCTGCTTCAGAACATCATTGAAGTAGGACCAGGTTTATGTCTTGCTTTTACTTGTTCTGTTGATTTATTTTGTCGAAATATTTTCAATTCATTTCGTACTTGATTTCTTATACAAGTAGATTCCTTTCTTAATCTCATATCACCCGTCATAGAACCCGTTCTTAGTGTTTTTCGGCAAAGTTCCTACACGCCCTCAGCTATTATTGAACGGAAATGTGATTCAGTATGTCGATCGACATAAACATCTGGGCTTGCACTTAACACCTAAGCTAGACTGGTCTTTACATGTATAAGAGGTCACAAAAAAGTGTAAATATACATTATACCCAATGCGCTGTTTCAAAAATATTTTAAGTACGACTACACTCGACCAGATCTACAAATCGTATATTTTTGCCAGTGATAAGTTATGCAGATGTAATTTATGCATGTGCGAAAGAAATTCAAACTACAAATACTCCTTTGCCTACTGTATTAGCTTACTTAAAACCAATTGCAAGGCTACAGTACGATGCTGCACTGATTGTTAGTGGTGCTATGCGTCTCAGTTCACGAGATAAAGTCCTTAACATACTAGGATGGCTATCACTTGAACATCTCTTTGCAATGCATAAAATATTACTACTATTCAAAATATTTAGAGGCCTTACTCCACCTTTTCTAGTTGATAGAATACTCACGTTAGGAGCAACAACAACTATGACTCTGCGATCTGCTTC